CATGCATGATAGTTGGGCTTGGATGGATTGCTATTACTTTTGATAACTTTTCCAGAGGTAAATGCTATATCGAAAAAACTTCGCGATTTGTGGTTTTATTATTGATTTTTGAGCATACATGATTTATAGAACACATCGAATACAGGTAAAGTCTGAGACGCTGAGAATTTAAACTTAACATCTCCAAAAATTTTGCATACAGCAACAGCAGAGCATCGTTGCTAAGCACCACATGCAACAAGAATCAACCACATCATTCCTGAAATTAGGACTCTGTAATTTTTAAAATCTCTATTATTTTGTTCTGGGTGCACTCTAGTACAAAACGTATCCATTTAATATTCCGCTATAGTTCAGCAAATATATTTTTCTCTCTTAACCAAGTTTTCCACACATATGTGACCTCAAGGGATATTTACTAAGGCTTTTTCGCTAAAAGGACCAAAATCAAATGTTCAGTAACTTCACAGGTCTTGATAATTGGCGCATAAAATTCAGGAAGTAGAGTCTTGACTCTCTAGGAGCATCGAATTGAAGCTTGCGTTCAATGAAAAATTTCCCTCGAGCAAATAAGAAGAGTATTGGAACGTCTGTCTGTTGGTGACCCATCTTTTCGAAAACCTTTAATATTATTATCGGACGATGACGGCAGAACTGGCATGAATGTGAATCACAAATCCGATCTCTTCGACTTCGTACGTACGTCCACCGTATTGGCCCCAGTGAGGGATCGATATAATGTTCGAGGGGGGTGACAGTCATGGTTTGGGCGCCTTCAGTTCCAGTGGGGAAATGGAATGGTTATTGCCGCCTGGATGGTTAAGTACCAAACAATACTACTATTGCATCCTTGATCTTATTATTAAGACTGGACGGAATTTTTCATTGGGACATTTTGATCTGGTCCAAGGATCCACCAGTTCTAAAATGGCCAAGAAGTTATCGATCCGATCGGAAGTCTTTTCATCGTTCACAGTACACTTTAAAGATGTGAAGAGGCCAAAAGCAGCAGCTCTTCGAAGCGAAACCTTGCAAAAGGTGGTCGGTTTCCGTGAGGAACCTTTATAAGGTTGAACTTACTGGGCAAAAAAGATGCGGATATCACAATTGTTAGTCTTCGGGTTTCGATAGAAATTTAGAATCTTGCGATTTATGATTTGTCACTGTTTTTTATTTGATTTATAAGAGCTTCCTTTTTGGGTTTAGAAAAATACAGTGTTTGGAAGTTACATAGAGCAAAACGCGCTGTTATCTCTGTCCCTACATTCCCTCCTCTTACTAGGTAAACCCGCAAATTACGACGTACGATTTACACTGATTTGAGGGGATACGGTATGCCACAAAATTTACCCCTTTAATGGCGCAGCAATAATTAACATGCTGAGAGTATCTTTTGAGGTAGATCTAGTCCGAATACAAACTAGGCTCTGAGTTTGGAAACAGCCATAGAAAAACTGTCTGAGATAAAATATGCCGAAATGTAGTGAAACGCAATTGCAAAGAATCGTTTGTTCGTAGAGCTCACGAGATCTCTGATTTGAGAACTAACAACTCGCAGTTTCCGCAAAGAAAAATTTTCATGAATATCCCTAATGTTTATGCTTGCTAAGCGCAGAAATGCAAACGCCTCATTTAGGTATCGCATCATAAAATCCCTAGCCTCGTAGAAGAAGTACCTGGGTCCACCGTAATAGTACGGTTCCGGATAGTATGCATACGGTGGTTGTGGTCCATATCCATAGCTGTAGAAATCATCATATGGCGAGGCAAAGTAAGGCGACCCAGCATAGGGCCCATAGTTGTAAGAAGAATAC